AGGTTTCGATACAACTCAATTAAATTATGAAAAAGCAAAAGGTTTTAATAGCGAATTGTCAGCGGAAGTATTAGTAGTTAATCGTTTATCCTTGTTCGGTTAGGAATTTGTATTGGTGTCATTATTTCCGGTATAGGATGTAATTTTGTATTGTATATGCATCATTTCACAAAAGCGCAGGTTTCCGAAATAATCGTCGATACGGGTTTTAAAACACTTCACAGACTCGGCCTCTATTAGTCCTTCTGGTAGTGTATTCTATAAGTTTATGATTCGTCGTTCTGTACAAAGCTGATGTGATATCCTATTCATGCGCGGGCCCTAAGTTTGTAACAGTGTCTTCGGGTGTACACGGTTCCCGCAGGTGTAATATTAGCCGCAGTATGGGGAAGTGATTCAAGTGTAGTATTTGATGGGTCATAATAAGGTCAATTCGTACTCGGCGGCAGGACAGTGTCTAGAGTCTGTGCCTTTCACGTTTTTTATACGAAAGCTTTCGTAGACTGGGTATGATTTTATTTGCGATGTGCTGTATTTTCTTCAGCTTTTTAGTTTCCCAGTGGGTTATCGGATGGTAAGCTGGGGCACCGTATTCAAGCATTGGTCTGATGAGCGAGTTGAATAGGCCCGGGGCGGTTTCTTCGGACCATGTGGAGAAACTTCGTCGTAATGCTTAGAGCATACGAAGTCCGCACGGCAAAATTTCTCTGTATTTTCTAGTGATCCCATATCATGTCGCGAGAGTACCGCTAACTCTCTGACTGATACGTTAGGTTTAGAGTGAAATGTTCCCGAAGTGGTTGCTGCAAGGGACCAACGATGGCGATGGTGCAACCCGTAGACTTCAGTGAGGTTAACAGGAGGAAGAACACAACTGTTAAATTGATGTATACATCAGCCACGCTTTGATATTCCCTTACGCCACCACACAAACAAGTGCAAAGAAAATTGAGACGGATGATAACATAGCATTGTTGCTAGGATCGCGGAACCAGGAGTATTTACAAGAGGAAGTGTGAGCTCAACAAGTACACAGAGTCTAAATACGACGAAAGGCGATATCACATGTTTCATCACGGCATGAGCTTTTGTGCTTGCCAGTTGAACCGGGATACCCATCGCTCCAATCCGACACAGCGACTACACGGTCCGAGCAATGGAAACGGTTGCAGCTGAGCATAGCTCACCAATTTTCGACAATGAAATTGGCAGCGTTGGTTGCCGTGTTACACTCGACTCACCGGTCCTAAACTCTGGTGATGAGGCGCGACAGTGCGTATATCTCAACGATTTCCTCGTAGCTGGTCAATAGATGTGCATGCCAAGCAAGTCGTAGGTTGTAGCGAAAAAACGTGCCACGTTGTGACAAGAAATCACAAGCTTCAGTCTGTTTTTGTTAAACCACGGGCAACGAGATCCAGCTTCATTCTTACGCTCACATAGTCATTCACATGCAGAGCTGGAACCGTTTCCTTTGCTTCCCCACCATGACCAGTTGATGTTTCAATCACGCTGTGATCACTTTGTACGGCAGCTTACTTCGACGATGCACAGATCCCAAAAGTCCCGGATCCTGCCCCAATGGTACACCACGTATACCGAAAGTGATGATCGGCAGAGAATCCTCGATGGTCATGCATGACAATACCATCACATCTGAATCTCCTGCAATACGTGATTTGTGGTGAGAACATATGCCTAAAAGCGCACCGCACATCGCACTAATGTTCATCTTAAGTCTATGGTGGTCTTAATCCAGTCAAAATGATCGTGATCCGTTTCAACCAGAAACCGCTGACACAGTCAATACGACTACTAGCAGTACAACGCTAAATGTGCCAGATACTACCTCTCAATAGTAAAATATTTACGTCCCAATGAAACCAGAGTTCAGTTGGTGCACAAAATCGTCACATTCCTTTGCTTTAGAGCCGCTATAATACTGATGTCGTTAGAAGCAAAAGTCACAAGCAACCTTTACCCGACGATCGGCAACTTCAATGTTCGCTTCGGAGTACCGATTTTCGGAGGCGATCGGTGACCCGCTGGGACTTTGCTTTTAAGGTGAATTTCTTTTCAATTCTTAGTGTCTCATACAAGGGTGAAGGGAATTGGATCAACTGTTTGACGAACTCACCGTAGTATTGTGCAAGACAAAAAATATCCCGAGTGTGGTAGTTGATGTTGGAAGTTAGGTTGTGTCAATTGAACATATTGTCATTATGCCTCAACAATGTCACAGCAGTCTCCCCAATGGAAGATTCCGATCTGTTTACACATATCACGGGTAGTTGAATTCAATAGTCTTATGGAACTCGTGGATATTGGCCCCATGGAAGGTCAGCATGTGTCGGGAGAAACGATGAAGATACAACTTGATTTTCGGCCCCCGTGATAAGCCATTACAGAAGAACACGTGATTTCATATATTCTTCTTCAGGTTTGTACAATTATACGTGAGAAAACCGAACTGGTGGATACAATATAATTACTAGCAAAACACGTTCCGTTCACAATCACTATCCATTAGGTCACGGCTGCGGCGTGTACATAACGCCGTGCGCCGGACGCCACAGTTTGATTAAGCCAAAGCAACTTAACGTCTGCACGAGCCGTTTCTGAACGCACAACTCCGATCCGCACAACCAGATCGCCTCAGCGGATTCAAGTAAACGCCTACGAACGCAATTTGGTCGATTATCCGACGCATGAATTTGAATAACTCAGTCAACTTGGTGGTGTGGACAGTGTCGAGGAGATGTGTGACGATGGATGGGCTGGTTGATTTTCGACACCGTCATGAGCCTGACCGGAGTTCGCTCACCCGGTAAAACAGACGCCTTGTCATTGGGCCAGAATAACATCTAGTTTTCGTCTAACAGTGAAGTATACTGACAGCACGATGCAGCTGCGTTGGGCTCCTCAATTAGACCATTTCACCCTGTGCCCATAGGTATGCTACGACACGGCAAGCAAAAATCTACCACTACAGTCATCAGTCTTCACGGCCGCTACATCGAGATCTTCATTTTGTTCCATTTCTCAAGAAATGTTGAGAATCTCACTTAGGAATTTAATCAGGCGCAGGAGGCGCTGAAGTTTATCTCCAAAGCAGAAGAAAACCATTTATTTCATTTTCTCAACGTGACCATGAAGCGACTTGATGGTGGTGTGCTACGGCGTCGCGTGCATAGGAAACGTAATTGCTTTGAGCAATAAACGGATTTCCACAGCTTTGTTCAACGGAAATAAAAATGGAACCAAATCCTCTGTCTAACGAATTGAGCAAAAACAATTTGCTCGAACAACATGTCTCCCCATGAACTGAAGCGCATATGCTGGACAATGATGGAAAACGGATACGCAGACGGTTTCCTGAATGCTAGCACGGAACCTGAAATTCAACTGGACGTATTTTACCCACCCACATATTGCGTCCATCAATTCGGTTTTTAAACATATAATTGTACGAGCCTGAAGGGAAATAATGGAAGGCATATGCTCGTCTGCACTGAATTCCAATGACTTAATTGGTTTTTTTAACATTGACAAGCAAACATCATAAGCGTTAACAACCCTAACGAGCATGGAGTAAAACTGAGCTCGCTCGGTACATCTATGGCTGATTGTGGACAGTGTGACACCTGCGCCCACCGAAACTTCGTATGGTTTTATTCGGTTCCACCATATAATCAAACACGTTATTCGTGCTCTGAGCGCGCATCTCTGATTCCGAGAAATAGTAACTGAGTACGTCTTTTTCAGCATTTCCATTATCCCGGATTTCCAGAGGAAGCAACACATTGCTGGCCATCTTTGAGCAGTGAGCTCAAAGCTACGCATCAATATCATGTCCGTAAGGCGAATCAGACCGCAACACATTTGTCCAAACCATCGTGTTTTTCGGAAGTCCGTTATCCTTGTACTATATCTTTATATGGCCACTGGGTGTGCACAGGGCGGAAGGTCTTTGTGGTGGTTCATGGAAAGCCGCTTTATCGTCTGATTTTCCCATTAATGCCACACCTCCGTTCAGTTCAGTCCAGATGAACAACTATCATACGAGCACGAAGTGCGGTGGATCCAATTTCCATGACTCGATTCGCAAGAATAACAACAAGTAACAACGGCAAGATACGGAGTGGACTGTAAATAAATGACAAAGAAAATGGAAACAAGAAGGAAGTGTACTGGACTAATCAGAAGAGAACGAGAATTAACAACCAGATGCAGGAATCCGAATGCAGAAATGCCACCGAGTGCATGATGTGTCTCCAACCATTGGTGAGGACTATCCCGAAGCCCCCATTCACGCGCCAGCGTGATCAAGTCCCTCAGTCAAGTTCTTTATGCCTCAACGCCACCTCATCTACTGGCCCCTTCACGATTTTGCCCAACTTGATGCAGCAGCCGCGTATAACGCACGCCGAGGAAGCCGGTCAACGAGAATATGACCAAAATAAAGTAAACGGTTAAAATTAACAAACACTGGAGTGAGACACCAGAAGGGCTCTTGCGAAAAGCCACCTGGCGGACCGCAACATTGCTCACCCGGTGTTTGTAACAAATGTGAGCAATACTCCACAAGCACCGATGGTCAAACATGGCCATGTTCTCACAGCGAACTGGCCTGGTCTCCGATGCTTAGAGTAAGACCGGCATTATCGCAAGGTTGTACACTGTACCTTTCACTGACAGGCTGATATCTCACCGTCTCCATAGATGACTGGGTCCCTGGAAAGTCACATGCGCTTTGCTGATACGCGAACTGATCTCCCCAGTGATGTGATCACCACAAGTGACACAGCTACCAAGGTAGGTAAACCGAGGCACCACTTCCAGTGGCTGTTAGGTGAAAGCTAAACCGGAAGTGTATCGGTGCAGTGCTGCAACAGTACATTGCACTTTGAAGGTGCAAAACACATGGCGAACTGTGCAGCGCTAAGCGTCAGTTTGTGCAGCAGGGTTTGCATAGTCATAATATACCTTCTCTTCATACAATGCAACTTACATCTGGAACGTCACAGACTATCGCAGAACCCCGAAATCGGTACGTAAAGCACATGGCCGGCGTGTAGAAATGGCAAGAGACAACTGGGAGTTAAGTAATTATGCCGGCACGCGGAAAGTTAGAATCAGGTGGGTAAGAATGAAAATAGTAAACATTACACGCGGCTCGCTTGATAATAATTGGCGAATGGGAGATAAATGCGCAAATTAGATGATTTTAGTGAAAAAATGAACACAATCAGAAAGGCGAAACATGGAAAATACTGATGAAGCAGAAGGACAACATGTGGAATCAAAAAAATGAAAAAAGCAAGGTACGCAAAGGTAGGAGGACCAAGTCAGAGTCTGTGAATAGTGACGCCCAGATAGTTACTAAGTAAAAAAAACCAGTCGTGCTAGGGTGGCCGCCATGAGATATGAAACGCAATGAATAGTATAGATGACGGGGTAGCCCAAATCGATCAGGAGAACGCAAAGCAGTGCCGTGGCTAGAAGGAAACAGGAGAAATTACATTAACAGCTAAGGCATTCGCTCTTCGAGCTCTGATCTCATCGCCCATGTAAATGTAATTTTCGTTATCCTCCTCCGAAGTGTGGGACTTCAAATGAGCTAAAAAGGAACGAAACCGTGGGATACTATGGTTGGCGGTCGTGGATGGGTCCACGGAAGGTTGACTACCGCGATCGGTGCTTGTAGTGGACGATGGAGTACAGAGTGTTCGGGTCGGGAGTAAATGAAAACTTGCACTAAACCGTGACAAATCTGCCCGCATTGGGGTGTGCATATCGTCGCATAGTGGAGCTGTGTCCAGTCCCGAGATGGATGCAGACAAGTTGCCAGCTGCGATACCGCGACTCCCTGTGGAAGGAGCGAAGAACCGAATAAACACATGTGCAAAATAGGTATAGAACACAGGGTTGGGCACACCGAGACTAGTGCGGATGCCAAAATCTAAACTGGAACAGTCGTTCAAGTAACGAACCAATCACAGCACTATGACGACGCGGACGGAGGGTGGAAAAATTGTAAGCAAATTCAAGAAAAGCCGAAAAATCCAAAAATGAAGATGTCACACTAGAACCGAAAGTATGAGTCTTGTCACCATCTAAGCGGATCGAAAGTGTGAGCAGTTGTAGCCAAGTTGCTGGTGACATCCACCGTGCCAGATGGGTAAAGTACATCGGACCGTAAGTGGCAAAGGGAGCATGAAACAAGGGAAATTGGCTTCTAGTTAGGAGAAAGCAGATGACGTGCAAGAAACTGGAGGTGGGAATAGGAAACGTTTCGTGTGTGTCCCAGGCAAAATCAGAAACTGCATGACGCCAAATCCAAACAACAACCGCACAGCTAGGAATGACTCGTGGCAACTCTTGCTAAATGTTCCTAACGGTGTCAAAATAAATGTGAATAATCACTTGTATATGCTTACGTCAACTACACACACCCCGCCCCAAGGACATACTCTATACCAGTGTAAGCTTGAAGGGGCGCGGTTAGTGCACGCATTGTAAGTGTGTGGAGGTGAACAGGCGTGGGAGTGTAACAATGGGACCCTAGGAGATGGAAGGGTCTAGTCGGTAGTTGACTTTCGTGGAATCCACGCCCGCTCGTCAGTTAGCCATTAAAAATGATGGGATCATGCATACCAGAAGTGTACAAGGCAGTGACTGGGTCGTAAACTGCTTCATAATGAAGAAGTATCTGATCCTGTCGCTACCATGAAGAGTACACACATTGGAGGGGGACCGCCGCATTCCATATGGCGGATTGAACGAGTAAGCCTAGTGTCAACACGCATCGCTACGGCATGAACAACAAATAGGTGATAGCATATGTTCAAATACACAAGTGCGGCCCTACTGCAGTAGCGATTGCACACAACTTGAGAGACTGTGATCCAGGTAAGTCCTTGTTCGGTCGCCTCAGGTGCATAGTCAAAGCTATCAATGCCGGGGCAATAGCGTGCTTTACGGAGGATTAAAAACATAGACGCGTCAAGCGTCACACAGCGGACATATACGAGAGGTACGGATCGAATTCGGTATAGAAAGTGTAAGGATGATAAGCATATCAAATGAAATCAGTTACCAGCAATGATCGCTGAAAGTTGACAGCCTTCACTGAGAATACCGGCCAAACAAACTTTCCAAAACCGATGATTTAGAGAGACAGGCTCCAATGATGTGACATGATATAGTTTAGAATGCAGTCGTAACGTCTTGATTATATATTTAAACAATAAATTACGGAGTGTTCTTTGCTTCTACAAAGATGCTCAGGTACTTCAACTTGCTAGCTCCTAGCTAAATGTTTCCGAAAAGAGACAATCAGGCATTTGCCGAAGATATGGCCATAGAAATGGGCTTCAACAGTCTCTATGAGTTAAAGACTATCAAACATGGTCATACTATCCTACGGTTGCCCTAGGGAAAGACACCCAATCCATTGGAAAAAATGATACGCAGTCTGCATTACTTGAATAGCGAAGAAGACTTTCCGAACGGGACAAAAGTGTAACAAATACTCAGGTGTGCTTGGGATTCACGCAAGTGTGTGGCACTTGCTGACATCCTCAAGAGACGGATGTGGCTAACTGCCTTCAATGGTCGCGCAGAAGGAAGGAGGTAAAGACGAGAATTAGAGAAAAGAGATTTCGGAAAGAAGTAGAGATAAGTGGCTAAAATAGTTCCTGAAACTCTTGCTAAACCTAACTGAGGGGAACAATGAGAGGCTAATAGTAACGTGTAAAGCATCAGTGAATAGGTTCTTACGCAAACAAGAGCGCTTCTTCTTGGGCGATCTGGGAAGAGATGCGGTTGACCGATACAAGTCTGCCTCAAGCCTCTCGCCCATTAATCGTAGTTGCTTAGCTTCTGAAGTGGCTTCAAGCATTGGATTATCCGACATGTACCCCTGCATATTAGAACATGACCAAGTCTCTGCGTCACTGACTCCAGCAGAAGAGGAAATCTCGGTGAACCCAGGAGACCGGCCACGAGTTGGCCAGAGGGTTCCATGCGAGGTCAGTTGGAGCTTGTGGGACGAGATTGGTAACGCAGCGTGACCACGATACAACGACTGCGACGGCAGAGTCATTGAGTCGAGTGGTGAGGAGGAAAGTGGCAACATGCCAGGGATGTTTTGTCCAATGACTGGAGCTGATCGAAGAGGTGGTGAAATCACGGACTCAGGTTCGGCCGCTCCAGTGGCCATCTTTGAGGGTAGAAGAAAGTAAAGATGCGGACGAAAGTTAATTGCAGCAAAAGTGAGAGAAATGCCACAGATTTCAGTGATGATATGCGTCGTCCTAAATAAATGACCGCAGGTGCAAACGGCTCGATTTATTAAGCGTTGCAGCAATACGTGCATTGGTGTGTGGTTATACAGACCTATCCAAATGATTGCGGGCGTAAAAGAAGACAATCGTCCACACGGTGGGCGCGAGTCATGTACAACACCAGTAAATATGGGTTGAACAGGTCAGTTGATAGCAAACAGATCAGTTCAACGAGGCAAAAACATTGTTGAGCCTCGTCAGTCGGAGAGCGAGTGGAAATCTAAAGCAGGGGACAATAGCAGGCAATCATGTTAATTGGGATCACGACATGTGGAGTGCAGCAACAGTTCATTTATGTTGAACACCTATGACTCGGATGTGGTGAGTTCAGCAAGCAAAACACGTCGCCGGGATAACAATTAACAAGGATAAGTTAAGTGAGGTGGAAATAAAACGAAGGAGGATAAAAAAGAAGTGAACGGAATTAATCGGGGATGGATTAGAAAAAGTCGAACAAAGGAGTCTGAACGCAGGATCGTCTTTGAGTTCACGACCGCGTCACTGATCTTACCAATACTAAGGTTTCCATCAAGCAAGCATGCTCTTTGCAGTTTGACCGAGCCTCTTGATCCATTTATTCATACTCTTCTGTCACATGGTCATTTCGCTTAACTGGCCACAGTGCCAGTGCATATTGAGCGCCGCGAAAGGTGATCAACAGGTGTGAAGATGAGATAGAACCAACACAAGCTATCGATTTTTGCTCAAAATGATGTGATGCCGGTGGACACCTTGGCATCCCATAGTGGAGCTTGAAAAGGTCAATACGGTGTGATCTAGAAGCATTCAAAGGGACGTGACCTTGGGCTCCAATATAGCAGCTGCAGGAATGTGAAGCACATGGGCTATGAATAATTCAGAGATTCCAAGTTGGGCTTGGAGTACACATAAAAATGAGGAGTACCATGTGCACTACAAATATATGAAGAAAATGTGGTGAGAGTTCAGTGATCGACAAGGGGTGGTGTAACAGAACTACGAGATAGTATCCCGAGTATGATTTATACGATGAACTCCATCCCGAAAGATAACGCATCTTGGAGAACCGGAGAGAAAAGTATCGTTTTAATAAAAGGAAATAACACACAGGAAAGCGGGCTGAGAAATAATAAAACACCCAGCGTCAAAGAATGGGATGGAGACGCGGAATGAAGCCTTAAAATAGGCAGCAAACGCTATACAGAAAAGTAATGAAGAAATGATGAAATTGACTGTTCACTGCAGTCGTGGAATCAGCACTGTCCAGTAGTTTAACTGTGACTCCATCAAGGATGTACGGTAGATTCAATTACCAAGCTTCGGATTGCCATGACAAGGGAAGGCCAGCAAGATAAATGAAAAGAAGGTAAAGCACAGAGTCGAAAATAAACAGAATAAATAATGAAAAGACAGAGAAAACCCAAGGTGAAGGATGCTATGCAAATGACAATAACGGCAGTACCGAAAACCTGAGAAGGCGAAAGTTTACGAAGAAAAATATGCAACGCAGAGTAGTTAAGAAAAAGTTGAAATAGACGGACTGCAAGGTAAGCAGTGTGAAAGAAGCGGACCGAGTAAAGCAGTGACATAGACCAAAAGACTTCAGTGTCCATCTGGATTTAACAGAGTGGAGAACTTGCTAAATTTCTACAGATAGTAACGAAAGGTACTGGACTGAAGGACGCACTCAGACGTACGTCAAGAGGCTAGAAGAAGTGTTACGTGGCAGAATTGCATGTTCTAAACATTTCAGATAGGGATATGTAGTGTCGTTGAACCTCATCACCCATCACATATATCACTTAGACAAGCAGAAATCTTACGAGTGACCACGGTCAGACGATATCGGCAGTATCCATAGTTGTTACTTCGTTACGTAATTACTTTTTTGTCAGACGGGCTGGGCTCCGAAGGACGATGAATATGTCTGGTTGGTTGGGCAAGGAGCCGACCCCAGTGGCGTTTGTGTTGTGAGTTTCTTTGTCCATCCCCATCTCACTTATCTCCCTCTTCGAACCACGATCTCTATCGCTTGAGGTACGAAATGCGTGTTGCATCTTTTTTGTATTCCATAATATTTGCCTTTCGTATGCCATATCTTTATGTATTGCGGAACAATAGTTAAAGTGACTTACTCACCTTCGGCTAATGTGCAATGAAGATGAAAACAGTAAATAGCTACCGCATCAGTTCAGAGACTAGCATCTATGGATTTTGCTGAATCCTGTTCACAGTTGCACTTTGTGCTCGAATATCCATACCACTAGCTTACCTTCCACATGTTAAGAGGTTGATTGTAGATGGTACGCTGAGCTAAAATTCGCGGAAAAAGGACAAAGCTCACTGCTTAGTGTTGCTCACTATTTCGCCTTCAATTGGTAACCCCAGGCAAAGGTTAGAAAACCGTATGGATGGCAACAATATATAGATTTTACCTAAACGGAATAAATTAAGAATATTCTAAAACAGGAAATTCGCTTTATAAATCCAGAAAGAACAGAAGACGTAAAAACGGTGAGACGACTAAGGCATTTCGTGCAAGCTCGACAAGGGATCAGGCATGCGTTCATCATCGATTTCGCTGAGGCGTCATAATCTCATCGTACTCCACGCACCAGATATGTTTTCATCACAATGTTGAATTCCTCCAGGGGCTCATCGATAGACTTTTGGATGTGGGTGATGATTAAACAAGTAATCCGACTTTGTCAGAAAACTAAACAGTCATGTCGGCTTCTGAGAATCAGCTTTGTAAATCACAATATGCCGCACCTCACACTGTCTCGTCTGTCAAGGCTGAGAGGCAGAAAAGTCCACATCCGCCGAAAGTTGGAACCCGAAGAAGGATCGTTTGAAGACTGCGGTCATTGAGCTCAAATACCGTTCAGAACGTGAGGCTGACTTACATATTGTAAATTTTCGGGTGATCAAGAAGGACGTACGAACTCGTATCAACCGGTTGCTCAACTTTCAGGCACGTCCCCCGGTACTTCTCAGGACCTCCGTGTGGCATTCGCCAACGTGTGCAGACTAATGAACAAACGAGACGAACCGTGCCGCTTTATTGTTTCGAAGCGGCCGGAGGTCTTAAGAGTTGCAGAGACTTGGTTGAACTCCGACGTTATACCCCAAGAAGTCGCGTTGTCAGGATACTCTGTTTTCGATGTGACCGAAAATCAAAGGACTAGGGTGGTGTTCTCATTGTACATCAAATCCTCACTATCTGGCAAACGTATCAGTAGCTATCGGAGCGAGGATAAGTTATGTGAGCAACCGTGGTGCTCAGTCCGCGTCGAACGCGCAGAACTAACAGTGAGTGTAATCTATCGTCCATGCAATGAGGCTGGACCTTACAGTGATGCGATGGTTTGCGTGCCTCAGAGATCCATTGAGCTATGCTGAGTGGTGCATTTTTGCACCTTCAGAGCCACACATACCAGATTGGTCAGTGGTTAGATACTAGACAAACTCAGCCTCCTGGTACTTCAGGCTGGGGGCTGGAATGAGAGTGGCTCCTTATTTCATAAAACGGGCTCTCTGTAGTCCATTGCCAAAATCCCGCTGCCTTGCGGTAAGATTTTTGAAACAAAGGCTTGGGTTGGAACCCTAATCGTTCTCCTGTCTAGGCTTGGGCAACCTGACAGTATTCTGCCCACGCAATACAATGAACCTTTCCTACAACAATTTATTGATGCTCTGGCCGTCGCAGAGGATAACAAACGGCGCCCTATCTGCTTCATCGAGCAGGGTGGATAAGGGTAGGGATGCTATTCCTCAGGCCTTCCCGCCTTCTTATACCCCTTGCTCTTTTCCATCTCTATCGTCCCGCTCCAACTTCACTTTTACCCCCCATTTTCAATCCCCCAATTCTTGGCCCTCCCCCAGCTTGCTTCAACAGTCTCTTGTCTTCTAGTTTCAAATCACACAGTTGCAGAGCGTCGCTCCCATTCAGTCGACAAGTCCATGTTCAACCAAACGGACAACGTCAGTTCATCCGTTTCCCTTCGGAGTTCTCGCGTCTCGCTAAGACTGGCATGCCTCAACCTGCGCACTTTTCTATAGATTGGCCAACAGGAAGCACTTGCCCGCACACTAGAGACTCGAACGATCGATATTTGCTGTTTATCAGAAACCCGCCTGCAAGACTCAAGCTCCGTGGTTACCCTGCGATCCCCCACATGCGACACTGACGGCACATTCTCCTTGCGCCTGTCTGGCGATGATGCAGCTTCAAATGCCGGTCAAGCTGGCGTCAGCATTGCTTTGAGTACCCGGGCTGAAGCTGCCCTGATCGATTGGATCCCAGTCAACAATCGGATGTGCGCCGTTAGATTAGCTGGTTTGTTCCGTGCTACCAAGTCTCGCGGGGACAAACGGTGCCGGTTTGTCATTGCGGCCTACGCCCCTGTAGCACTGATTCGGTAAAAGATGATTTTTATCAGCAACTTCATGAGCTCCTTCGTTACAGAAGAAGCACGGAGACTGTGGTGTTGGCTGGCGACCTAAACGCACAAATCGGAAAATTGTCCTGATGAGCTTCATCTGGGCGGCCAACATGGTGTAGGCTCCCGTTATGATAATGGTGAGCGATTGCTACAGCTGTGTGAAGATGCTCGCCTCTTTCTCGCGAGCACTAACTTTCGACACAGCACCCGCAGAACCGTGACTTGGCGGCCGCCGGGTGCGTTTCGATGGACGTCCGCAACGTCGATGTGAACGGATTGACACCAGCCAGCTGGCGAAGCCAGATGTTCTGAAGGTGTATCAAAGTGCGCTGACATCTGGGCTGAGTAAGCGTCCACTAAACACCGTTGAAGATCACTGGTCGCATATTTGTCAAGCGTTGCTGTTAGCAGGCATGTCTTCATGTGGCAAAGCAAATTACCAAACCGGACATTGGGTCTCTACACACTCTCTGGAACTTATGGATGGTCGCCGATGTATTCCGGCTGGAAGCGAATACAATGAGACTCGCAAAAATCTCAGGGCAAAACTGCTTGCTAGCTTGAAGAAAAACCGCGAAACCTGGTGGTCTCATCCTGCTTCTGATATTGAAACCACCTCTGCCGCTGGCAATCATCGTAAGTTATTCCGTCTGATACGGGAAACAGGCAGCAGGAGACCTGGTGTTAGCGAGACCATACACGACGAGAGTGGGCAGCCGATCCACAGCCTGTCAAAATGCTTGGAGCATTGGGCTGAACACCTTGCAAGGCAATTTAACCAACCTGAGTTATCGCTTAATTCTTCGACCATTGAGCGCCCTTCTCCCTGGGCCGTCTCCTTGGATCCGCCCCCACGCGCAGAAGTCGAACGTGAGATCAGGCTGTTGAAATTGCATACGGTCGCAGGGGCAGATAGAATTCCTCCAGCCCTCTTCGAATTCGGGGGACCTGCTCTAATAGATGATTTATACGAGTTGCTAGTGAAACTTTGGGAGCTGGAGACTGTCAAGACAGCCTGGAACCGCTCCGTCATTGTCCCAATTTTCAAGGGAAACTCTCGTATGGAATGCGGCAGTCATAAAGGGATCAGTCTGAGTTCGATTGCCTCTAAATTGCTTACCTCTGTCATTCTCCACAGACTAACTGGCACTAGCGAAAGTCAGATTCCTGAAGAGCAAGCCGGATTTCGTCGAGGTCGGGGTGCATCGACCACATTCTCACCTTGCGTCAATTGTTGGAGCACCGCAATGTTTACTGGCGACCCACCGTTGTCGTGTTTCTTGACATTATATGTGCCTTCGACTCAGTCGATTGACGTGCCCTTCGGGACTGTCTGCTAAGGAAACGTGTGCCTGATAAATATGTAAACATTATCAAAGCGCTGTACGCGCATAGTTCGGGCAGGGTGAGGGTTTATGGCAAACTGTCGCCACCCTTCAGTATCACCAGCGGTGTGAGACAAGGTTGCCCGCTGTCACCTTTTTTCTTCAACTTCGCTATTGATGAAGTCATGGAAACAGCGTTTGCTGGACACGACCTAGAAGGTGTGGAGCTACTTCCTGGTGAGCGACGTCTTGACACAGAGTATGCGAACGATATTGCCCTAATCTGTGACAGCTCCCAAACATGCCAAGCAGCACTGGACCGATTAGCACTGGCTGTCAATCGTTTTGGACTATGCTTTGCTCCATCGAAATGCAAAGTACTTCTCCAAGATTGGCAGGCACCCAACCCTGCGCTAACGCTTTGTGGTGATCTGCTAAAAGTCCTTCAGGAATTCAAGTATCCGGGCAGCGATATTAGCACCCGTGGGATCGGAGATGAGGCTACGAACCGTACAGCAAAAGCTCGAGGTGCTTTTGCCAATTTCCGCCACCTGTGGCGCAGACGCGACATTCGCCCTGAAGGGCCGAGTTTATAACGCAGCCGTCCGTTCAACTCTCCTATATGGTTGTGAAACCTGGCCCATCAGATCGACAGACACAAAGAGGCTAGCCATATTCGATCATTACTGCCTTCGCAGCTTAGCTCATGTCTGGTGGGAGCACCGCGTGAGCAATGAGCCTGTTCGGCGTCGCGTATTTGGTGCAGGAACAGTGAGTGAACCGATCAGCACCATTATATCACGCACCAGGCTCCGATGGTTGGGCCACGTGTTGCGCATGTCAGCACACCAACTTTCGCGACGTGCACTGTTTGCGCGTTGTGTGTGTGCGGTTGGAAGAGGAGGAGGGGAGGCCAAGCGATGACTTGGTCGAGAGAGATGAAAACTCTCACTTCGAATCTGGCGTCGGTTGGTGCATCCCGACTGCCTGGCTGGGATCCTAAGGACGGTGAACACGTTTGCTTGGACACAATTGCTTATAAGGCTTGGAGCCGGCTCCAATGGCGTTGGTGTTGTGAGTTTCTTTGTCCATCCCCCTCCTGCTTAGCATCCGCCTCCAATCACAATCTCAATTGTTAGGCATAATATGACTCTTTTTACGGCACGATAGCCAGCTGTTAGATCTCCGTAACGATGTCCATCCGTTACTGGGGACTCAGTCGGCGTGCTACTGCTTGTTTTCCTTTTCTTGTCTTTTGTATTGCGGCACAACAGCTGAGGTGTTGTCCACCTGTAGCTAACGTGTATAATGATGATGATGATGTTGTCTATGGTAGCCCATTAAACCGTTGTTGTGACTAGCTACATGTACAGAAGCACATAAGCGGCCCTCAATTTTTACTGATGGGGGATCTAAATTTGCTTAAGGTATTTTGGCCAGACGTTCGGCGACTTAATAGAGACGTTCAAAAGCATGAAGGGTTTCAGTGGTCTCAGGCCTACCGATCTGTTTGTACCGACTACATCAGACAACTTGAGGGGCTATTGCATGAAATTGAAGCAGCAAAAATCTAGACTAAAGAGCCAGGTTCTTTGCAAACCGGGTTGTGCGTGTTTGGAATAAACTTCCTTCTGCTTTATTGGGATGCGAAACTGTAGGGAAATTTAAACGGCCTAGGCAAAAATTGGTTGGCCTTGTTCCATGAGATTTGTTGACTGCCCCAAATCTCATGACTCCATACTCTTTCACCTTACCCCATATTTTCAGCTGTCAGCTGTTTCGTGTGACTTGACATCAAATCCCTACACTGTCCAGCGTGGTTAAGATCTTTGTTCTGACGGCTCTAAGCCCCATTAAGTGCGATTATAACACATTAGGTCGCCAGAACTGACCAATAGTTGCTCGAGCAGCTTTCGCTTGAGCCCACTCTAGTGAGAGCAAATAGTGATGCAATCAAAATAGTGAGGAAGAATTTCGTTTCTCTATTTGCTGATTTTTTTTTGATCGGCTAATATACGGACTTTTGGACAAATTTGACGTTGCAAAATCATACTGTCGGCTTATATATGGATCGGCTTATACACGGTAATATACGGTATCTCAACGTGTTGCAAATCAAAACTATGATGAATCCGGACAGTAGAATGGAAGCAATGTATGAAGAAGAGGTTGAAGTGTGGGCACCCATTGACAACATCGCATGGCCATGTATGCGAACTGTCTGTCCTTTTCATTTCGTTCTACTCTCCTTACTTTCTGTCCATTCCAAGATCAGGTTATCTTTCGTTTTGCCATGCCAACCTGACAGCTGCTTCATTGCTTTAAGTTTGTTCCGCAATGCCAACTGTTATCCTTTTTTCCCGAAGGAAACAACTCGAGTATCTGTAGCAGTTCTCAGTAGTCAGTGAGCTGAATTTCTAAATAGCAATTACTCTACTGTGTGCGCATTGTAGGGTACGTGCAGCCAAAATGCAGTGGACAAGACAAGTCAAGTGCAGTAAGTTCCAGAACGGGTACACAGAATATGGTAACTCCCAGGGCGTTCAAGGTACATGCAAATGCAGTCGGCAGACCGATTTGCCTTAGCGTACGAACGTTGAACGCTGACAGAGAAACATGGCAGCATGACCTGATGACAACAGTGCTGTGGGTACTGTACATGATGCAAATCCGATGGTACTTCAACTGACGTCACTGGTGCTGGCGCGTTAACAGTAGTAAAAACGAAAAATAAGAAAGAAGGTAGGGAGTGCGCGGTGTCCAGTTTACGCTTTCTAGTTCCCCGGTATGCGGCGAATAACACGATCGCCTTGAAACTGTAACAGCCGATGCAAAATAAAGCCGCTTTTCGAAGAAATATTCATGAATGTATGTAGACTGAGATACTGCTGGGTCGCCAAAACCGAGGCAGGGAAATAAGTAAGGTTATCGCTGAGAGTCTTTGATTCAAATGTTAATTCAAAAGGCAAGGGGGATACGTCAAGTTACCGTAAGTTGATCCATTTTCAAAGGAGTGGATGACACTCCAGAATCAACCCCAAACACCTGGGGAGCGAAGAGACTGAGTCTGTTCAAGTTCAAACACCCGAGCAGTTTGGTGACTGAGGGTACCAACCAATTTAACCAAAAGAAATCGAACTACTGCATCAGGCAATGACACAAAAATGTTGGTACGGAAGGATGCTGTGATATTTAGCATTGATCCACCTGCGCAAAATGAATAAAAAGCTATGTGAGTTTCGGATAGGACGAAGTCTGTCCCCAAAATCTGTGGAACTTAAACACTTAATAAAGCAATCCCAGATGTGCTCAATATAGATGGATGCTAGAGGATCGATATGAAGGTAGTACTTTGATGAAAATGATGTGAGAAATAGGGTCTCAGGAGTGAATAAAATTGAAGTCGGAAGTTTACTTCAGCTAAGATGCAGCGCTAGATTCAAAAAACAGTAGCGTAAAACTCCATTGGGCGACGGAACAACTGGGCGCAGCTGGTAGGCAGCCCGTAAGACAGACGGAAAAATACAGCGCTATTAAACGAATGTTAGTCACACAAGCAGTCACTTGGGTACCTCGAAGATATCAAATAATAAAGCAAAGTAAAAACAGAGGAAGGAGAACAGGTGAGAAATTCGGATCATAAGTATGTAGGACTCACCGAAGCTAAATACTTCAACACCAACTGTGAGGTAAGCGGGTTTCTTGGAAATGAATTCGTGTTATACCATACGAACTCGTCATGGTGTCGCCCACTTTCATCCGAGCACTTCTGTGGCAGAGACGATGGAGTGCCGAGCCATGTGACATTGGTAGTACCAGACTGGATGTGTTCAGCGAATGGAAAAGATGGTGTCGACAAGCATGCCGCCGTGGGAACCGCACATGCACGCGGATATGCCGCAGGATCCAGCATGCTCATTGTATCGACTGAATCCGCGAGTTCTGGAGTAGGTGAAACGAGTGACTTGATTGTTGCCGCCTCACGGGTTGCCGCCGCACTAGCAGCATGTAACGAAGCCAAGTCGACTAAATCATCCAAAGCCGTTGGCCGTTCCCCGGAAAGGGAGAAAGATGCACGACGGAACCGTATGGGTTCCACAGGGGAGGGTGCAGAATGCTCATCGGTTTGCCGTGCAGGCTCTCCAACAAGGGGGACTGTTATGGGCTGTAGTGGACCGAAAATGTGGAGCAAGGAACAACGTAAAACGAAAAGAACTGGCAGGATTAACGCGTAATAACGCAAATAGCTGCGCTGACATAAGTGATTCATACCGTACAGAAATAAGATCAGTACACACACAAAATGCTTGTGTCTATCATGTCCGAGAAGCGTAAATGTGCTTGCGGAAGTTGGATCACGCTTGCGAGCTAGTCCCCTAGCAAAGGAAATGTGCACAACTATAACATGCCTAAAATGGATGAAACGACGGATCATCATTCCGATGGAAATCGCGACCAACCTGACCGATACAAGTTGGAAATATTTCGAGGTAACTGAAGCTGCTGACTGTAGAAATTCGAGATGAACAAGCCTAAGAGTCGAGTGATCCGTTCTAAATTACTTTAGCACGCAGTGAGGTCTGTCTCCATCCCATCTGAAACGAACAGCGCAAACGGCATCGACTAAAAGAAAGGATATACATAGATTTACACGAGATGAGTTAGAAACTACGTAACATGCGAGTCAAATGGAGTCAGTAACCATACGGATGGTGATGATGGCTGCGTGAGCAAATGAGTAACGGTTTTCCAGAATACGATATAAAGTAAAAGGCTGAAGAAACCAAGCGCAATAATTCAAATCAAAAGCAAGTGATGAGACCCTTCGTGCAGTGTGGATTACACATATTATCAACAGCAGCAAGACCTTAGTGCGCTATATTGATGCTCCGGTACCGCTCACGCAAAAATGATGTGACAGGATGTTACAGAAATCAAATAACATCAGTAAAGAGAGGATACCGATGATAATAAACATCAGCAGCAACATGTCAGCCATTTGAACAGATGCTTTGTTGCCACAACCACCTACGGAACGAAGAATAATCAGAGAGAAGAGGAAGTTATCGGAAAACCCTAATGTGATATGGGTGAAGTACGCATGACACGTGTACTGCGTGGAGCTGAGTGTCGCACTGATCACAAATTGGTGCTGACCAAACTGTGCATATATTTTCGTAAATCCATGTATTGCACTTCCGTCATGAATCGGCGTAAATTTAATATTCTCTCCCTCGGTACTGTGGAGAAACGTGTTGAGCTGGAGAAGGCGATGGCTGCACGACTGTGTGATGTGGAATGCATAGCCACAGTGGGCGACCTGTGGCACCACATTCGCGACCAGGTGACCGCTGCTGCCGAGGAGCCCATCATGCGCGCAAACTGCAAGCGGCATGATTGGTTTGATGAGAACAATGCAACGATTGGCGCATTGGTGTCGGAGAAGAAGCAGCATTTGCTGCACATGTCGTAGACCCCAGTGACTTGGAGAAGAATAGTCAGTTTCGCACACTTCGATGACGACTAACCCGAGAGCTCCATCGCAGAAAAAATACATGGAGGAAAGAGAAGGCGAAGCGGATGCAGTGCTATGCTGAAGGTCGTCAACACAAGGAATTTTTTGACTTCTTGAAGGCAGTGTATGGACCGAGATTGGAGCCGCTGAGGGGGCTGATCGATGGTAGCACAGGTGCTAACTGCACACGGACTGCAGACAATGCAGATCTGGCAAGAAAAGTTTGACTGTCTCTTGAATAACCGTTCAGAGATCGACTGGTCTACTCTGAAAGACCTCAAGCAGCACGATGTGAAGACGTCTGGCGGACACTGGATGAGACGCAGAGGGCACTTCCTCAGCTGCGAAACGGCAAGTGCGTCGGTGGCTACGGGATCCTGCCTGAGATATTGAAACACGCTAGACCCGCGTTGGTGAATGCGCTGCGCCCCTTGGTGCGACAGGTGTGGATTGAGGAGGAGGTGCCTGCTGAGCTGAAGGATACCCTTGTGCTACCAATGTACAAGGGCAAAGGGAGTAAGCAATGTTGTACGAATTATCATGGCATCAACTTGCTGAGTTGTGTGGGCAAGATGATTGCCTGAATCCTGCTCGGCCGCCTCGTCAGTCAAGTTGTGGAACCTAACGTGGCGGAAGAGCAGTGTGGATTCCGGTCGGGTCGCAGCACTATAGATATGATGTTTGCAGCTCGTCAATTGATGGGAGAAGTACAGAGAACCACACCAGCTGTTGTACTCGCTTTTGGTAGATTTCACCAAGGTATTTGATACGGTGAGTCGCGAGGCATTGTGGTTGGTGTTGGGTAAGTCAGGTTGTCCGCCTAAGTTTAATTGAATGTCTGCACAGTGATATGCGAGCGGGGGTGCAGCTGAGAAGAAAGACCTCGGATGACTTTGCAGTTGTCTCTGGTATAAAGCAACACCGTGTCTTAGCTCTTGCCCTGTTTAATATTTATCTTCATGCAATCACGTCTTGTGATATTGAGACCAAATGTGCTTACGGTGTTCGTGTGGAGCACCGTATTGATGGTGGGTTGCTGAACATCCGTCGTTTCGATGCGAGAACTCTAGTCTGTGAGACAACTATCCGTAGGTCGCTGTTGGCTGACGACTGTGCGTTGTTTGCACACTGCGCGGATGAGTTGCAGCACATCACTAGTGCTCTGGCTTCGACAGTGGCCAAATTCGGGCTCACCATCAACACAAGCAAAAGTACCAGTCTCATTAAGCCCTCACCGGAGGTGCAATCTTCGAAATTGCCGCAAACCAGCATTGGCGCTGAAGTATCAGAAACCTCCTCCCGCTTCTGCTACCTTGGGAGCGTAATTTCGACTGATCAGCAGATACACAGTGAGCTGCGTATCGGCGTCTCTAAGGCAGCGGCGGCATTCGGGAAGCTTGAGTAACGAGTGCGGAACAACCATCAGCTTACCGTTGGCGCGAAGTTGATGGAGTACAAATCCGTGGTGTTGTCCGTTCTTCTGTACGGCAGTGAAAAGTGGACGATGTACCGGCAGGATGTGCGATATCTCGAGCGGTTCCATCAACAGTATCTGCGCGAATTCTGCGCATCGGTTGGTGCGACAGTTGCAGACATGGAAGTGTTGCGCCGAAGTGGAATGTATGTATTGGACTGCGTACTTTTGCTGAGACACCTAAGGTGGCTCGGTCAAGTGAGCCGTATAGAATCGACGCGGATACCGAAACAACTATTATATGGTCAGCTAAGTACTGGGAAACAGCATGCGGGAAAACCGAAGCTTCGTTACCATGAGATGATAAAAATGAGCCTCTCAAGTTCTAATCTTGATTGCAGGTCATGGGAATCGAAGGCGGTTGATCGGCGTGCATGGCGCGATATCATCACAAAGGCAGTTGCTGAAGTGCGGGAGAAAGACCTCATGCATGCAGAGAAGAAGCGGCAAGCACCGATGGATTGTACTCCATCGACATCGAGTGCATGGTGCTGTAGCACATGCGGTCGCGGGTGCCTGAGTCAGGCAGGCCTAGTGAGCCATGAGCGAGGCCACTCGGGGACACCACCGAAGCGACAATTGGTCCTGCAGAGAACGTAGGCAGAATCGGCGCAGCGTTTGTAGGTACGCTGCATTCGATTTGCTAACCGCGTGCTTGCATGCTGAGTCTCTTTATTTCAAGCGGCGGGTTTGCTATATTGTCCTAATGCTTTGGTATCTCATATTAATGTCTACTTAATACTATCTTCTATAAACTTGCACACGTCGCTTAAGCTAGTTGTAGTGAGATTGGATTACATTTTCGCATTTGCGGCGTTTTCTTAAGATATATTTTCTGGCGTATTAAGCTTCTCGCGGAATTTGTTGCAACCCATTTATTTTATACGCTCATTTAGTGAAGAGTTATGTCCCCGTATCTGTATGCATTATTGGATTTATTTTATTTCATCTTGTCGTTTCAGGTGATTGGCTGTTGCTTGATATCCCCGGTGTGGCTGCGCTTATTGTGCATGCCGACAAAGTGTCTTCCTGTCTATTACCCACTACCTCGTCCATACTGGTTCCAGGAGACAGTTGGTTGTTGCTGGAGGGGACGGAATGCGCGGTCCCTGTAGCCGTGCTAGGCTCGAAGAGTGGTTCCATGCAGTCAGTGTGGAGCGGACTACGGTCCAGCCACCGACTTGTGTGCGCTTGATTTCCAAATACAGAGTGCTTGTGGTTGTCTGTGAAGGAGTTTGGGTCAGTTCAGCTGATGGAACATGGCTCCCATCCACATGCCTCCCGGTCTTATTCCTTATGGTTTACACCGGATATGGGGTGTGGGGTTGGAGCTGTGGGTGGTGTAGCGCAAGCCACCCATGGTCCCTCTGTAGGCGCAGGCGTCCTGTGGCTGCCACAGTGACAGACAAATCCGAAACCGGATGCCGCCAACCATGTTTGAAATGGCCGCTGACTGATATTCCAGTCCTATGGTACGCTTGATGCGAATGTGAAGAAGGTACAAAGATGTCAAATAACACTACCGCTCATCTTCCATTTGGCGGGTCATGTGAGTGGTATCGAACCGCGCTACCTCGGGTGGTCACATTGTCACAGCCGTGAATTCGTTCCGGTAATTTTTGTGTTAGCGAGTAACTAATGTTTTTGGTTATTTTTTATAATATTGTTCATTTTGGAGTGCTTCTGTTGTAGTATTATATCGTGTTTGAATAGCACTGAAGATAAAAGTACCAGTGTAATTTCGGTTTCGCTGTGGTGGTTATGGAGTCAATGGGCACTTCTTGTTGTGAAGAGCGTAGCTGCGGTGGTGCGACAGAAAAAGACATTCAATGTGTTATGTGTCCATTATGGTACCACAATTCTAGTTCGCGACTGGACGATGAGTCGACTAAAGTGGATTAGCTAAATTGCGTGTGCCTGGCGGACACCTGCTCGTGATTGTTGAATGGGGATCATCTGGTTAAGTCTCGTTATGTTAGTAGTGGGCAAACTGCCTCTGACGAGGACCACCTGCAATAGCTCATGGCAAAGAAGCTGATCCAGAAACAGGGATCTATCATCGACACATTGGGAGCAAAAGTTGATGAGTTACATGCACACCTGGAGTAGTATGAGTGCAGTACTGAAATTGCTATGGGCAGGCAGAGGATGTGCTTATATATAATCTGGAAGAAAC